TCAAATCTCAACAATCTTTTTCTGCTTGGAGGAAGGAATTGTTGTCCCAAATCATTCTGGACACCACCATTGGCAGGAACTTTAAAGATTAATTTTGACGGTAGTTCCCAAAGTAATCCAGGTGTTGCGGGTATAGGTGGTGTGCTCAGAGATGGTGGAGGTAATGTCATCTTCTTCTTTGCTGGTCCCATTGGTTATGCCACTGCTAATAGGGGCTGAACTAAGTGTGGTGTACCATGAGTTGAAGTTTTTCAAGGAGATGAATTGTGGGGATATTGTTTGGATTGAAGGCAACATCTTGAATGTAGTCAATGTAATAGGGAGCAGCGGGTGCCTTGTAAGTTTCGTTCACTTTGGCTTAGGGTCATGGATATTTCTCTCTCTCTCACGGTGTCTTTTGTTCATGTTTATCGTGAAGCTAATTCTTGAGCTGATGTATTGGCAAGGGGCGGGGGGCTCCCCTCTTTGGTTATTTCTAATTCTATAATTGTTTTATAGAGTTTAATATAAGTTTGAACATTTGTCAAAAAAAAAATGGAGGGCTAAGATTGCCTCAATCACAATGTCACGTTTCTATATTATTTTATTTTTAATTTTTTTTCTATAAACTATTTTGACACTAAATTTTGGACATCCAATCCTCTATTAAACTCACACTAGTGAAAAATATATAAAAAATATTTCTAATAAAATAAAATGACCAAAATACCCGTGAAAATTTTAAGGGGTATTTTGGTCATTATATTTTATCAAAAAATTATTTTTAATATTTTTTTATAGGTGTGTTCCAATTAGAAGATGATACATACCAAATTTCATATTCATAAAATTTGTATAAAAAAACTAAAAATAAAATACTTTGAGACGTCGGATCAAGATCGAACGGTGAGTGACTCTCTTGATCAAAATTGGACGGCTGGATGATAGAGAAAGCATAGACCTTCTATGATGTAGGGAAAGTATAGAAACCTTTCCCAATTGTTATATAGTTTATCTAAGGTCTACCCTCTCGTGTTAGTCCTAACTACATGTCTCCTAGATTTCAAGGCAATTTGGGGAAAAATTATGTCAAAATAAAAGAGTTCTCGGCATAAATTACAAAAAAATTAGTGTTTTTGAAGAAGATGGAAGAATGTATTAGATTTTCAATGAGAGGATGAAAAATGGGGAATACGGAAAAGAAATGAAAGATGAGAGAAAATAAGACTTCTGGGAGCGCTAAAGCCAAAGACAAAATCTAATGAGGCCTGAGAAATTTCTCCGTACCTTTTTTGTTCAAAAGGACTAAAAATTACATGACTATATTTTAAGTAAAACTATACAATCCCATCTTTTAATTTCCAAATATATATATATTTTCCTTAATTTCCTTTTTCTTTTTCTAACATAGTAGATTACATGCGGTGAACTTAGAATGTAATGAAAAACAAAAGAATAATTTAAAATAATAATAATAGAAATTACAAATACATTTTTAACTCCAAGGTATTAGGTGGAGCTAACAATATCCTTTAACATTTCTATGTACCTTAAAATTAACACAATCTTATGAGGTCTAAGAAATTTCTTTGTACTTGTTTTATTTAAAAGCCCTCAAAATTATGGGATCATATTTTAAGGAAAAGTATATAATCCCACCTTTTAATTTCAAAAAGTAATTTTTTTTACATTAAATTCCTTTTATTTTTTCTAATATGGTGGATTTATCTGCACCGCATGTAGAATTGTAATGAACATAAATGAATAATTAAAAATTAAAATAATAGAAATTAAAAGTACATTTTTAACTCCAAAGTGCTAGGTGGAGCTTTAGCCCCTAGGTACAATAACCTAAATGCTAAGAGTCCTTACCTCGTATATTCTTTCTCACTATAGGATCTTCATTTATTCTTAGGATATGTGTCTGTCCTTTAAAGGTGGATTAAAAATGTAAGTATAAATGCCTAAAAATATATGTTTATCTTAGGTGCAATGTGGTCACAAATAATCTTGATCATTATAAATGAAATTGGGCGGCTGCATTTTTTCTATTGATCAAACTCAAAGTTCAAAGGAAATTTTCACAAACTCTTGATTAAACTCAAAGTTCAAAGGAAATTTTCACAAACTCTTGATCAAACTCAAAGTTCAAAGGAAATTTTCACAAACTCTTGATCAAACTCAAAGTTCAAAGGAAATTTTCACAAACTCTTGATCAAACTCAAAGTTCAAAGGAAATTTTCACAAACTCTATGACACATTCAAGCTATTGGATTTCACATGTGATGGTTACAAATAAATGTGACCTCCATGTATAAAAATTAAATGTTCTCTTTATAGTCTTTTTCCAAAATATTAAACGGGTGTTGTGATTCCGTGAGAGAACTCACTACGTACTAAAAAAGCGTAATGCATGAAGAGAGTATTGTTTCTAGCATAATGGATTCACATGCACCGCATGAAGAAATGTAATGATTATAGAAGAATAATAAAAAAATTTAAAATAATAAAATTAAAAATACATTTGTACTCCAAGGTATTAGATGGAGCCCTAGTCCCAAAGTAATTATAGGGAAAATTAAAAAAAACCTCAAGGTTACACTTCCTATGCAACTTACCTCCAGCTTAATTTTTTTCTCATTTTTTACCTCAAAACATATTTTTTAGGAAATAACCCCACCCCCACCCAAAAAAAAAAAACCAAAAAAAAACCAAAAAAGAACTAAACTACCCTAACACTTTTACCCACGCCAGTCTCTCTTTACTTTCCCTTCTTCGGTTAAAACTACAGTCCCGCAGTCAAAACAAGCGGTCCGATACTTTTCCTTTTGGTCAAAACTGCGGTTCGACAGTTAAAACAAACGATCCCATATTCTGGTCAAAACTGCGATTCAGCAGAATAGATACGCAGTTTGGCACTTTGGTTCTGGTCAAAACTGCGGCCCGACAAATTGAATAAGTGGTCTGGCATTGCCGTTTCTAGACAAAAGTACGGTCCCGTAGAATAGACATGCGCTCCGGCACTTTTTTTTTCTAGGCAAAAGTGCAGTCTGGCAAATTGAACAAGCGGTTCGACACATTTTTCCTGGAGACAATGCGGTCTGGTAGAGAATGAACGCAATCCGACATGTTTTTTAGTTTAATGGGTCCGACAATGGGTTCATGGCAGTCCGGCAGCCCACGTGAAATGCGCCTTTTTGTACTTGGGGGTATTTGCTAAAAGAGTATATTTTGGGAAAAAAATGAGAGAAAAAGTTCGGTTGGGGGTAAGTTGCATAAGAAGTGTATTATTGAGGGCTACTTATAATTTTCCCTATAATATATCCTCTCTCATTAGAGGAACTCTCTTTATTTTTGTGACACGCGTTCACCATAGCTTAATTATATAAATCGGTGTTTGGAAAGTCGATTGAGTAGAAACTACTCAATCGAGTTATTTGAGCTCGAGCCTTAGATGTCCCGAGTTGGGTGTCAAACTCGAGGATATTAAA